AATCAGTTTTTTTCAGAAACTTTAAAAAATAACCAAAACATTTTTAAATAAGATATAATTGTAGCGCGCACATTTCTGATTAAAATGAGACATTCCCCAGCTCTACATGACGTTTCTTTGCAAAGTTATAGAATTTACAAGAAAAGCCCTAAATGTTCATTGTCGACTCAAAGCTACAGAAATAAGAAGAAATTAATTCACGGCTTTTCTTGTAAATTCTATAACTTTGCAAAGAAACGTCATTTAGAGCTGAGGAATGTCTCATTTTAATCAGAAATGTGTGCGCTACAATTATCTTATTTAAAAACGTTTTGGTTATTTTTTAAAGTTTCTGAAAAACTGATTTTCTAGAAAACTGGGTCTTCAAGAAACATTGGGGAAAATGCTTTATGCCACTAGAATCAGCTCGTCGAGCTCTACAAACTGGGATATCTCCCATTCAAAACAGTGATTCACACTTGGGGACCTTCCCTCGTTAGTAAGATTTGTCTAAGATCTTGGACAAATGTAAGCGAAAGGTTACTAAGATCTTAATAAGATTCGAGTAAGTTTCTCACTAGGCCGCTTCATCTAAATCTGAACCCATCGATTTTGAATCTTTTATATCATTTTCTGATTTTATACTTAACTTTTATACTTAATTAATCGTCTCAGATTGTCAGATCTGTTAGTCACTGTATGAACAATGTGTTCTAATTACGACGCAAAACCCGGCCTATCACCGACCAGGCTAGTTGATTAGTCAATTCTTTCGTCTTTTTGAACTTTCTATATCGCAGCATGAATGTTTTCTATTATTCCGTTATGATGAGTTAAATAGCACAAAGAACAAAATACAGCTTTACATAATAAGTAAGCTGCTGGTTCTTATTAGAACTTTTGGATCTTCGGGTTTTAAAACGAAAATGAATATCGTATTTAACCGATGGGAACAGAGGTGGACAAGTTCAAGTCCGGACTGGAAGGTTTTTTTGACAGACTTGGACGTGACGTGGACTAGAGATGTGTAGGGTAGCTGTTTCTGGATCCCTGGCCCTATCCTGTGAAAATTATTTGAGCTCTCTCTTTATCCTACCCTGTGACACTGGAATCCTGATCCAATCCTACCCTGTAGTTTCAAGTGATCTTAGAGCCCTGGCGCTACCCTTTGAACATGTTTAGATTTTTTTAATGATAATCATTTCTTTATTTTTTTATATAAAGATGAAATCATCATTTTTTAAAATTTCTTAGCAACATAATGTTCGCGACTGACTTCACTGTTGTAGCTACGATATAATTCATCCAGATTTGTCAAACAAAATCCTGGCCCTCTTCTGTGACTTCATGTGACATTAGAGCCCTATCCTACCCTGTGGCTTCGAAGACTTCACCCTAATGGTAAGGGCACCCTGCACATCTCTAACTTGGACTTGGGGACTTTTTTATCAAGTCAGTTTGAAATCCAAGGAGTTAAAATCTCTTACATTCAACAACGGAATGAATATAATCTGATATTTAGTTTATTAATCTTTTTTTTATCAAACATGCATCTAATGTATGGATAAAATTTATTTACACGTCATATATGATTATGACGTACTGTATAGTACAGAAACTGCTATGAAGAGCTTGGACTTGGAAATGGTCGGACTTATCCACCTCTGGATGAAAATCACGGAGGATGATAAAGCTTTGGGAGTTCCGAAATTTACGCTGATAGTAAAGCGATTATGTAAACGTTTGTTTGATAATTTATCTTGAGGATTCTCTGCGACTGAGTAATGCTCTGTTCTTCCATAATATCATTAACAAAAAACACGATCAGTCAGTTTGGCCGTATCCAAAGACGTATCAGGAGAATTTTTAAGCTAAGATCCAAAAATGGAATAAATCGATGAATTGACTCACAATTATGTGTATTAACACTATATTCAGTAGCGTATTGTGTTCAAAAAATACAACTGAGAACTTTGTGGCAGAAGGCACCGTCTTTTGTGCCATTCTGTACTTTTACCCAAAAACGATATGCTTCTTCTCGCTTTTAAGCTTATATTGGATAGAACATGAAAGGCTAGGTCGACTCGTGTCTCTGATATATTGGCTCAAGTCGAAAGTCAAAGATAGTCATTTTGACAATGAGAAATTCCATGTATTTTTTTAACGAATTTCTTCTTTATCTTCAGTATTACGTTTACCAAATCCACTCTGATCAATTACGTTAGTGTATTCGGAAAATTTTTTTCGTTGTAAATACTTGATTTTGTTTAGAGTTTAAAAATACTAATTCTAAAATGCATAAATTTTTCTAAAAATCGTAATCATTAAAGTAGCCTAACGCCTCATAATTAAGTTTTCGTTTCAGGTTATCATTCACACTATAGAATTTAGGATAAAAAATCAATTTTTAAAAGGTCACGACAAAGGACGGAAAAATCTGTTCAAGTACCTTACAAATAAGACGGAAATTTTTTGGCCGTTGAAGCGCAACAATATACAATTTCTGTGAACAATATACGTATGGTTTATACGCGCTGATCAACAAAGCAAAATATATCAAGCTCTATTGGTTAAACAATGTGTATGTGTGTGTATATAAGCTCTAAACCGATTAACAGTATCTCTGTTTTTCATAAAGATTAGCTTAGTTGTTAATATAAGATTTAAATTACGATGATGTCTGGCCATTATTGTTTTCATCAATCAAACAAATCTTATGGCATTTCATTGTGTTCTCTTTTGTTACTTTTGTCTTTTCTAGTTCAGTATAAAGTTGAGTATTAGGTCAAAGAACAAGATGACTATTGTGTGATGTATGTGCATGTGCATGTGTATGTATGTGTATATGTGTATCCCGTTAGAACTGAAGAAGCATTTGACACAAGCGGAAAGAATAAAATTTCCATCATCTGTACATGTTTTCATTTTGAAACAAAAAAAAAAAGAATTTAAAGAACCACTGAGCTTTAGAAAGAAAAAAAGAAAGAAAGAAGACATCAGAACAGAATAGGAAGAAGAAAAAAAGCAGAGCTAGCTGCGTGACTTAGTACTGTACTGAAGACGATAATTGTGATTGTGTACTGTGCGAGAACAGAAAAGAGAGAACATTTTCTTGTCGTTTTTTTGTCCAGTTCATCTGTACGTCTGCTTTGTTTTCTTCATATACACACGTACAATACAACGTACTCGCCTTCTATAGTATACGTGCAGTTAAGAAAAAAGAATGTATACATGAAAAAAAATCAAAACTATAATTTATTTCGGTTTTCTACCTTACTTTTTTATTAATCAAACCTTATATTAGTGACGAAACAACAACAGACTATCTATAATATCCTGATATTCTATTATTCAGGAGATAAAACAGATCATTACATTGTTTCCAGACCTAATACACGAATACGATTTTTCTCGTTAATAAATACAAACATCAGTCATCAATATTAGTTTATTTCTTATCACTTTTAAAAGTTAATAAATATGATTAATACGTAATGAAGAAAAAAAAAAGTATTATTATAATATATTAATTATAATATTAATACTATACGATGCCTGATATAAATTCGTCGTCGTCTTCAGTTCTTCCATTACAACATCACTCTGTCACAACAAATGAACCAGTTAAATATGGAGAATTAATCGTGTTAGGGTATGTAAAAAATAAATGTTTAGATTAAGAGTAGTAACTGAAAAATTGAAGATAATGAGTACAGTAATACTTGTAGAACAAAACGTTCTTTAACAGAACATTAGAAAAATTCAAGTGTTACAAGTATTTTATGCGAATATCGAGATAAACAGACTGTAGTGACCGAATATAGTCCATATGATATACCGTACTCTTACGATCCGTTAATGGACAGTTAACAGCTCGTTAATAATATCGTTTTTGTGCATCTGGGAAAAGATTATGAGTCCAATTTAAATGCTGTGAGAGATTTATTAGATGTCTAATTTTTTTTTGTTTCAAAACATACATGTGCATCAAAGGTGTATGAGACACTTTTTATAAAAAAAAATACAACAAATTAAAATAGAGTGAGAAAACAGCTGACTCTTTCGTCTAACAACTTTGTATAAATATAGTAATAAGCGTATAATACAGAAAATAAGAATTTTTTTATTTTTTTATTCAATATCAAGTATCTCACCATGTTGGAGAACAGTAAACGAATTAGGGTCTAAATTTAATTTTTTAACTTCTTCCATTAATTTAAGAGGTGGTTCTAAATAGGGCTCGTATGCCAAAGCAAATGTTCCCCAATGGATTCCAATTGACTTTTTTGCATTTAAATCCACATGCATTTGTACAGATTCAGATGGTTCTACATGTTGTGCAGCCATCATCCATCTTGGTTCATCTTAAAAAAATATAAATTTTTGTAAATGAATGTTAGAGAAAAGAAGTAACATACAGGCGCCTATGGGAATTGCAGCCAAATCAAATGGTCCATATTTTTTTCCAATCTCTTTGAAGAGAGGAGAAAAATAGCCCGTGTCACCAGCAAAATAAAATTTATATTTATCATCTTGAACAACGTAACTACCCCATAACGACTTATTCGTGTCAAATGGAGTACGTTTAGACCTAAATATAACAAATTTAAACATGTAAACACGAAAACGTTGAAGAGGAATCAAAAATAATAGACAAACTCGAACAACTCATACCAATGTTGTGCTGGACAGTATATAATCTTTACACTTTTTCCATCTGTTTTCTTCTATAATAAACAAGAAAAGAATATTCGTGAATAATTACTATTTCGATGTATACACACATAGTCATATTCTCCTGTCCAATCTAGTTCCACTACATTCGTACATCCAGTGTCTATAAACCATTGTTTTAAATTTAATCCACAAAACCATGTTAGTTTTTCACCGTATCGGGCATTTAAACTCGTGACAGTTGATAAATCGAGATGATCATAATGATTATGACTTATGATAACAGCATGTAAGTCGTTTGGCAAATCTTGAACATTTAATGCTGGTGGACGATAGCGTTTTGGTCCTATGTTTCTTGTAATACCGCAGCGTTCACTGGAACAAATAGAAATAGAAATTATCTGAATTAAAGCTGATAGACATTAAAAACTACCTAAAAACTGGGTCGGTTAAAAAGTTAAAACCATTCATTTGTACAAAACATGATGCATGTCCAATCCATATAAATCTTAGACCTTTTGGTTTTAAAATATCTGATTGATTATGACGTACAATTGGTAACTTTTCGTCTATCTCATTGGGTCCTGCCGGTAATCCTGTATTATTCGTTGTAACAAAAATAAATCGAAATATCGACGAAAAATCAGGTAATTTAAAGTTACGATTAAATGAATTAATAAAACGTCCTTTTTCTTCTACTGCATTTTGTAATTGAAATACTTCATCAGTATCATTAGTAGCCATTCTTTTTTATCTATTTATATTTGTATATTTTGATTTTTATCAAAGGTTTGTCTAGAACAAGAAGGAAGAGAAATATATTAGATCATTTTGAACACACTATCAAACATAATTCTTAGACAAATATTATAAGAATTTTGTAATCGTAAAGAGATTAATGTTGAATAAAACTCGATTATGAAACTTATTACTATACGCCATCAACTATAGATGAGAATTGATTATACTTTTAACTATGAATGTATCCGGGACATTTTAAAATTACATGAATGTAATTACAATAGTTGAATTGATTGACTGTCAATGATTAAAGAAAATGTTTCTGTAAGAGACTACAGTTCAAGGTCAACAAAGTATTCTATTATTTGATTATACTCTTCTAATTCGTATTAAAGTTTATACTTGAACATAAACAAATCTATCAAAATTACACGATGAATGAATGTATGTAGATTTGATAAAACAAACAAACAAATATTTTTTTTCTTTATATTATTCTAACAAACTTCTTTCTCATCAATATTAAAAGAGTTAAGATGTTATAGAGAGCTGTCAAAGATTAACATACAACTTTTTTTTGGCATAATGTAAGATATTCCCAATGTCACTCGATTGAAGATGTCCTTTTAAGAAATAAGAAGATATTTTTTATTATGCAGACGATTAGATATTAATCTTTTTTGTATATAGAATTTTTATTTTTATCCATCTATGGATGGATGCATTGTTAGTCAATAAATATGATCTTTTAATCTTTTTTCAAGAATAAAATACTCGTTTGATACAATCAATTGATATACTATAGACAATAATGATAATAATGTTTATGTCTAGTAAATGTACATTTACATTTTAAAAAGATTTAGATGATGATAAATAATTATGTGTTTTTCTTTTTGCATATTTGTAGGTATAATGGCTCAATTCCTAATGGTGATCGTGGTAGAAGAAAAAGTAAATTTATTTTAAAAGAACGAACACAAGCAAACGGTTTAAAAGCATTGAGTCAACATCTATGTAAAAATGCCGAAGAAGTACAGGTGAAAATCATTCGTCTTTTCTTTTTTTTTTTACTTTATCCTTGATTGATGAAAGTTAAAATAAGAAGAAAAAATAAATTGAATATCGTTCATCCTCCTCCACTCACATACAATGTTATTTTATGTCAACATATGACCTTTTCAATTTTTTTTCTAGTAAAAGAAGTTGACTGTAACCTATATTACAGAAACGACAAGAAATGATCATTTTTTTTTTTTTTTATGTTTCATTAATAAGTCATATAGTTGTGATACGATTAAAATACTAAAATAGTTTTATGGAGATGGAAATTTTATTCGAAAGATTCACCTCATGTCTGCATTCATACAGAATCGAGAAATAATGATCTTTGAACGAAATAATAGATAGAGAAATGATCATTTATCATCATTACTTGTCATATAATGAACAGAAGAAAAAAAAGAAGGGCGGATCTCGTAGTCGAAAATTACATAAGAACACATACTACGACATATCTTGTTCTCAGTTCAATTAATGTCTTGCTTATGTAGTATATATATATATATCTATATACACATTCATAAAATGTAATACATAGAAAAATAAATTACATTTATGATGTGTCGTCGTTCTTATTTTATGATTTATCTATATATGACTATAACACAAATAATAATTGAATGATGATGATGATGATAAGTTGAAATCTGTTGCAAATAGCGAAGTATATTTACAATAGAAGTGTGATTTTAAATAAAATTGATAAAACAAATAAAACAATAAATAAACTTCTATGTTAGAGTCTCTAACATGTTTCTATATTATAATGAAAATTTTTTCAGTACGTCTAGACTATCTAATCAATGATAAAAGAAAAAAAATTGAAAAATTTTAAATTCTAAAAAATGTTCATATACTCTTTGAAAAATTTCTTCTTACATTATATAATCTTGTTGTTTTTGTTTTTTTTTACTTCTTTTTTAGAAATTAACTACATCTAATGTACATTCAATATCCTATACACTATCAAGAAATCAAACAATTGTAGTACAATATGCACGTGATGAAGAAACAGATATGTTTCAAGTAAAAAATTTTAACTATCAACATAAAATCTCGATTAACTTAAGAAAATATTTTTAATTATAGATTGGTCGATCATCTGAAAGTCAAATTGATTTTATTGTTATGGATACTGTTCCAAATGCCAAAACATTTGATGAATTAAACGTCACACAAAGTACAATATCAAGGTTTGTCCTATTCTAATTTATATTTTAGATTAGAAATCAAAATTATTTTACTTATTATTTTTTTTCTTCTTTTAGGTTCGCTTGTCGAATTGTTGTTCAACGAGAACCACCATATACAGCAAGAATCTATGCAGCTGGCTTCGATTCATCAAAAAATATTTTTCTCGGGGTAAGAAATAAATAAATAATAATTTGTATATTTCATTTTCACTATTGTATACACTTCTTTTCAGGAAAAAGCAATTAAATGGAAAAGTGAGAAAAATGAAATGGACGGTGTTACGACTAATGGGATATTATTAATGCATATGGATTGTGGTGAATTTAATAGTGGTGCTAAACCAACAAAGTGGAAGGAAGTATCTGTTGGTGGAAGTGTGTTTGATCTCGGAGAAGGACGATTAAAATTTAATTATCAGTCAGCGGTAAAATATTTTATGTTTAATGCCATCTACATTTTTATACTCTCTATTCTTTAATTTTAGACATCATCTGGAAATGATAACATATTGAAAGATGGTACATTAATCGATCTTTGTGGTGCCACATTATTATTTCGTTCTAATGAAGGATTAAAACATACGCCGGTAATGATAGTAAATAGAATCTTTTAAACTCTTGTACAACGAACATTTTTCATTTTTTTTTTCCTTAAAGACACGTCGATTACTTGAAATTGAATTAGAACAATTGAACAGTACAAAACCACAATGTCCAGTTGGTTTAAATACATTAGTAATTAAAACTGTATCCCCATCATCAAATCTCAATGAGCAAATACCATTTGTTTATGTTTCATGTGGTCATGTACATGGGAATCATGACTGGGGAGTTAAAGAAGATTTAAAACGTGAATGCCCTTTATGTAGAACGATCGGACCGTATATCCCAATAACAATGGGTATTGAGCCATCGTTTTATATTAACTGTAACGACTCAACAACAACACATTGTTTTCAACCGTGTGGTCATATTACATCAGAATCAACAGCATTACATTGGAGTAAAATAAAAGTGCCATTAGGTTGTAGGGGTTTAAAATCCGTTTGTCCATTTTGTTCAACAGCATTATCCGAAATAAAACCATTTGTTAAATTAATTTTTCAAGATTCAATGCCTAATATAAAACAGTGATCATATAAATGATCAAATTATTTTCTCATTTAAATGTTGTTTTTGTTCATGTATATAAAACAAAACAGCCGGTTGTTTTTTTCATTCTTCTCTTCACCCTCTGTAACGTTCGTTTTTTTGTTTATTTTCTTCTTAGTACTGTGTCTGTTGTTGTACGGTAGAGGTAAATCATCTAAAAATTATTTTTGATTTCTCACCAAGAGAAAACAATATGTAAAACGGTGCTATATTTGTGCGTTCTGCATAATTATTAATTTTGACAGTTTTTTTCTGATTTTTTTGTAAATATATATGTGTTATGGATTATTAAAGAAACGCTCACGCTTTACTAAATTAACAAGAAATTACGGCATGATACAACAAAAATATGAACAATAACTTTTTTTCAAAAGTACTCGCAAAAACTCACAAAACGTTTCATACATCTGCGTCTGAACAATTGCAACATGAATATCACTTCTAGTGTCTAAGAGATTACTTTTAATCGTCTTGTAAATAACTGATTGTTGAGATAACAGAACTTACTACATCAATAAATGTATAGAATTTTCGCGGCAGTGTGAAATTTTATAAACACAAGTATTGAGAAGATAAACACATGTTCTAATCGAGAATAGAACCCAGTGACATTAGTTTGCTAGGCTAATACGCCACTTCTTAGCTAGAAAGAAGCAGAATATTGAACCTTGTCAGTAAGAAGGACAGTGAATGACAGCACTTTTAGCACATGGTCCCAGGTGGGGAAGAGAGTCATTCCGGCTCACACATTTACAAAATAAATACACAAAATAGATAACTAATTACTTATGATTTAGGTACGTAACGGGGCTCGAAACAGGCCGACAATTTTGAGGCCTGGTCTGCCTGCGTCAGGTCTGTAATGTTTAGATCTGCCTGGGTCTGTCGAAATATTTCCTGGGCTTTGCCTGCCTGCCTGCCATTGTTCTCGGCCTACCCTGGCCTAGTCTGTAGATGCCTGGTAAGTTTTTTAATAAACAAAATGTACAAATAATAGTAACATAAGATGGAAAGAAAAGTGACTAAACAATATATCTAAGTGAAAAAATTTGGTTTTTGTTTAAGTATTTACTGAACTGATCTAACTAATAAGATATCCTCAACCATGTCAGGATTTAGTGATCTATTTCAGTCTAGTACATAGTTTCACCCTGTGAAACTCCCATATCATAACGACATCTACAGTCGAAATGTTACATTATGAATAAAAATACGCAAATTTCCTAGGCTAGGCCGCCTGGTGTTTTCAAAGGTCCGCCTGAATCTATTTCAGTCTAGGCCTGGTCTGCCTTAGCCTGGTGCAGGCCGATAATTTGTACCCTGGCCTGTCTGTAACAGGCAGGCAGCCTGGCCTGTTTCAAGCCCTGGCACGTAAGCTATGAAATGAAATGAAAGGATCAGAATAAAGTACACCCAGAAATTAAATGCAAGGCTCTGAAATCAATTCAGTAAAGAATGAAAAAAATACGTTCCAGTTGATTGCGGAATTTTGCATTTAAGGAGCTAAGGGTTTTTTATCTTACATCCGATTTCGATGGCGTTTACAGTGATTGATGCTTACTGTCCACCTAGCTTATGCTAAAAATTTGAGCTCGAAACGTTGACGTATTATAGCATGACAACGGGCAAAATGGGGCTCTTAGCAAAAACGTTAAGGCTTTGTTCTGAAAGGAGCAGAAAGCTGCGAGTGGTTTCAAATGAAAACAGACACCTGAATCTAAAGTTTGTTCGTAACGATTTTTGGATTTCGCTTCCGTTCATTCCCTACATGTATTTTAAGTCAGAACTCTGAAAATAACCCTAATTCGGCGGAGTATTTGCCACTTACTTTTGCACAGAAAACCAAATTAAAAAAAAACCAAGGAAAAAATTTAGATAAATGTCTCAATTTCAAAATAAAAAATAAATGAAAGTTTTACGATGAATCGTCTAGAAGGAGATACAATTTTACTCCGTTAAAACCATCTTCTGAGAAAAGCGTTAAACAAGTTTGAAGAGTTTAGTAACAGCAGATCTAAGGTTCAATATAGGAGTGTGATACATAATTATGAAGCAAACAGAAAGCTCTTTCTTTTATTCTCATCGAGGTTATTTGATCGTTAGAAAACCTATATTAATGAATATCTAACAGAAATATCGGATATTATGATTATGGCATAGTACACTAATATAAATAAACATCTTCATTACTGAAAATAACGCTATTTTATCCACTATAACTAATGTAAGGAAAAGTTGCTAACAATTGGCTGAAAAGTGAGGTGGCTGACAAAAACCTCTCAAAACCTCATAAAAAACTAGTTCTGTAGTGAAAAGCGACACATATTCTGAAAGAGGAGACTTTAGCGTATCTAGTTGAGCAAGAAACTTAATTTCACTTTTTCTAGAAAGTCAGATTTCTAGAGGAACCGCAAGACCATATTCACTGCAAGATTTAACCGAGATTCTCGATCTCTGCTCAGTGTTGCTACTTAGAAACATCAAGGACGTTAATCCTCGAATTAAATCTTGTAATGTAAACATGTGATGAGCTAACTTTTATGTCTAACTTCTCGTCACTGAAATAAATTAATAATTGGCAAAAAAAATGTCATGGATGTCTCCATCACTACCACTAATGATGTTAGAAAGGTAAAACTGTAAGAAGTTTTCATCGATACTCACTCAGTTGGTAGACAACAGAGCCATTTATAGCAAGAAGTAAGTCTCTACCACTTTGGGACATCAGTAAACTAAGTAAATTGATTGTGGCGTCTTTGTTTATACATTGGATCATTTGGGCTGTATCAGCCAACCGCTTGTGACAAGAAAGAAAAACAGCCCTGATGTATGAGTCATCACCATACTGCCGATACAAAAGTCAGCTCTTCTAATATGTGCGCTGCATTTGATTTGATTCATTCACTTTTATTAATATTAGACACTATAAAGATGCAACATCATCAAAGGTAACAGCAGCCATCTCATTCCAGACAATATTATTTAAAAGAGCTGGTGTAGAAACGAGATCTGTTCTCTTTTTTCGCATGAGGCCTTGGTATTAAACATAGTTAATTGTGTAATATATTTCTGGTGTTTTTTTATTTACGGTATGTTTTCGGGGATTGCTATCTGTTCTCACAAAAGCTGAAGATCTTTACGTTATTTGGCTGATCGTGAAGATAATACTTTTCAATCACTCTTGCAATAGGTACGATTGAGACAAACGTAAGTCAGATTGAATGAGAACTTCGTCATTTGATTATGCTTAGTCCTATTTTTCGTTATCCTCGCTAGAGTTTTGTGTTTTTTTCAAAGTTCTAAGTAGTCGTATATCTGTTTTTCTCTTTCACCGTTGTTCTCGATGACATTAGTTACACTCTGAATCCTTGACGCAAACAATGATGAAAAAAAGGATTTGAATGGCGTGTTGAAATAGCAGAATAATGTCGACTATTTGTTTGTATGTTTTAGTATAAATAGTTCTTTTTTCTACAATTATTATTCGTCATTTCTTGGAGAAATTCTTCATTTTTATGCAGTATGGCCGTGACATTATTAAAAGTTTTAATACGATTAAAAAATGGGAAATATCATCGCACTGAAATTCGTGATAAACAACGTATTCTAGATCTATACAAGCAAATTGCAAATGAACTTCATTTAACGATCGGACAAGTTAAACTGTTAACTATTTATCGTAATACAGCTAATTCAATTCAATTATTATATCCATTATCCTATGATATGTATTTGGATGAATCGCGTACACTTGATACATTTGCAATTTTACAAAATGAAGAATTATATCTCGATATCAATGAACTCTTTGATGATTTAACACTTTCGACGTCTCCTTCGTCAACGGTATCGTCGACATCATCCGTCATCATCAATGAATCCAACTTATCTCCATCAGTGGCAAACTTTCAACATTATCAATCAAAACCAAAAAAATTGAGTTTTGATCAACAACAACATAAAACATCATCGTCAACAAGCACAATATCAATATCAAAAACATTAAAATCATCAGTTGGTCAACTAGTACGTTATTCAGTACCAGCAGATAATTCATGTGTAAGTAAATAATTTTAGTTGATAAAGTTTCTGTACAGATGAACTTTTTTTCATTTCAGTTGTTTTCTTCAATTTATTTTGTCTTACATTCTGGAAAAATGGATTTAACATCAAATAAGCATTTACGTGACATAATCGCAACAACAATAGAATCAGACGAAAAAACATATTCAGAAGCAATATTAGGAAGAAAAAATAGTGATTATTGTAAATGGATTCGTAAAGGTAGGCAATAAATAGTCAAAAAGAACACTGTGATTCTAGCCAGAGTCTGTCACTTTTGTAATAGTGGAAGTAAGATCTTTTGATTATCATGTTTTCAAATTCACTAGGCCTCGATAGAGGAGTGTACAAGTTTTTAATTTGTTGCTGTAGAGAATAAATCATAGGATGAGAAATATCGTTTATTTTTCTTCTAATTACTGTTAGTTTTACTGAATCAACAGATTATTCTTTAATAGATGGATTCTGTTAGGTACAAAGTTGCTTGTAATTCTGGTATCTTATAAAATTATGCATAGGTTTTTTTGTATTTAGATGATAGTTGGGGTGGCGGTATCGAGTTGGCTATATTAACAAAATTATATGAAATTGAAATATGTGTAATAAATAGTGAATGTGGTGGTCGAATTGATTATTTTGGCGAAGATTGCCAATTTCTATATCGTGTTTTTCTATTATATGATGGACTTCATTATGACGTAAGTCATCTCAAAAGTAACTGGTATGTTCCATTACTAAATTTTACTTTTTTATTTGAATATATTAGCCTGTTTACTATTCAAAATTTGATCCAGATGAAAATGAAGATTTGATACAAACAAAATTTTTACGTAATGATGAAACGATATTAAATTTGGCAAAAAAACTTATTGAGTCGACAGCATCATCAGCAACTTTAACAACCTACAACATTGAAAAGAATGGAACAGACTGTGATTATAGAAAAACGATGAAAATGAATGAATTGATGCATGTAAAACTCTAACAATAAAATCGTTCGTTTGCTTTTTGTTAATTTTGAACAGTGAACGTGCGATTTAAATTTGTTTCATTTTTCTTGTATCATAGCAGTGATTCTCGTTTTTTTTTGTATATGCGTGATATTTACTAATTTTCGTTTCAAAGATAGTACAGTTAGAGGTAGACGTTATTTTCCTTCACTGTATCTTTAGCCTACACACTAAGGGTAGTAGAAAATCGTCTAGTTCCAAGAATTATACAAAATTAAGGAAAGAATTAGTGTTTGTTAGATTTATTTTGTTGTTTCGTTTATATATACAAAGTGAGAGGACAAAAATTTAAGAAAATTCGATCTTAATAAAATCTAACAAATCGAGCAATCTACCAAAAGTTTGAAGAGTTGTGATAAGAACAGATCGAAAGTATCTTGAAGATAGAATAAGACTTTACAGTCGGTTTAGACTGTAAAGATCATTCTTCGAAATCTATTGAAAGGCACTGTTAGAAGCAGAGAATAAGTAAAGTAACAACAACTTGTTCAGTTTTAAAACTATTTCACACGACCATACAGTGAAAGTTTAACATATTCCTCGAAATTTGATTGTTTTAAAATAATTTTTATACTAGAGAAAAGTTATTTTAAACTTTTCTTTGCTAAGTAATGCTTCTGGAACTCTTATCTACTTCTCACTTTTACAACTCTTCAAACTGTTGATAAATAACTTGATTTACCAAATTTCACTATACATATTAAATGGTTAATGTATGTATTATTCTGGATTAGCGGTACCATTACTTAGATCTTGAAGTTAATTCACTGCTGTATACACCGTATTTTTATTTTTATTCTAGTCAAATCGAACTATGTTGAAACCTTTATCAATAGTAACAGCATAAAATTAAAGTTTCGAAAATCAAAATTCATTATACATATAGTCAAATATTTAGACATTGAAAAATTCTTGTTTATCTACAAATATTTTTATTAAGATGGTACTCTAAATTCGTGTCTTATGTATTCGAGATTAGTTTTTGTTTCTAATTTTCGATACTTTTTTAAAATTTATCAATATTTACCTAACATTTTGTTGTCATCATTGATAAAGGTTACAACACAGCCGTTTTATATCTGGAATTTGATTACTATTATCTATTTCAAAATGCTGTGAGATATGATTATTTTTTAAATAATTCGAGAACAAAAGATGATCGAGACCTGCGGGTTTCGCCTTTCGAAAACCGAGGCTTTGATGCATCTTTTTATAAGCAAAATGAATTTTAAAATCTTTTTCGCAGATGAGTCTTTGTGTTGATATCTGGGAAATTCGTTTGGTTCTCCAAAAACCAAAGTAAGAATATATTGACTTTTTTCTATGAGTAGAAAGTGTCCTCTTTGAAAAGGTAGTCAATCAAGAACTTGGTTTTCAACCGCATTTTGAAATAGATAGCAGGATAAAAATAAAAACTATGATACATAGAACAGTAAATTAGTCTTGAAATACTAATACATTTTGTATAATGAATAGAAATATGAATAATGATAATTACTACTTAGATGAAGCTTAGGAATAAATGGAAGCACCTCAAAATTTTTGTCTTCCGCTTTATATATTTAAATCACATTTCAAGTAAACATAGCCGAGATGGAATTAGGATGGTTTCACTTCCCTGTCTTTGCTCATGTTCTGTTCTTTTTGTTTTGTTTTTTTTGTTTTTTTGAATTTAACAATAGAAAAAGAAAAAAAACGAGAAAAAAAGTTAAATTCATTAACTGCTTGTTATATCAAGATCTATCTACTATGAATACAAAGATGTCATATGAAAATTCCAACCGTATGTGTCATTCATAATTGGGGAAAAAGCTGATGACATAAACTGTCGTTAACTGAGTATTAGACCATGTTGAGAGTAAACAACGGCTTTACTGGGAAATAAAAATGTGATTTTTTTTGCCTACAATAGACTCTTGACTTGTCACATATGCCTAATATTGAGACGTTTTACACTCTTTAGATCTTCAAAAAGAAAACTTTCAGAACTCTCCAATATCTTAATTTGTAGATAAAATCCCACTTAACAAAATAAGATATTCGCAAAATCTCTGCGATCTTTCGTTCAAGAGGTATTTTATCAAAAAAAATGAGATACATGTAATGTATTTTTATAGCTTTTCCTCAATGAAAGTTCCTAGAGGCTTCGGGAATATCTTATCTTGTTAAGCGAAATTTTATCTACAAATTAAGCTACTGGGGAGCTGTGGAAGCCATTTCTTTTCGAAGATCTAAAGAATGTAAAACGTCAAAAAAACAATGAAATTTCACTCCGATAAACGAGTTATGCGGCCAGGTCGCTTTCTGCTTAAGTTTGTCTTTATGTTAACATATTCATCGTTATTTATTTATTTATTTAAGGTTATAATCTTGTTGTATCTTTATTAAGTAGATAAACTATCAAAACAGAAATGCCGTAAGTCCAAAAGATGTGGTACCATATTATGCTTTTAGATACTATCATTACACATTTGCAGAAGTGTAATAATCCTTTTCTAGCTGAGTCAGTGTTTGTTACTAAGTATTTAACTTTCTTCTCTAACTTCGCTAACACTTCTACATATGCGTGAATTGTTTTTTCCGTAAATATTGTGAATTTTTATTATTAATAATTCTAGTTTATTTTAGTGTTTGTGAAATATCGACAAATCTATCACTTACATTATGTTCGGTACCACTGGCATCGAAAGGTGAGTTTATTATTTTTATATTTGTCTTCTTATTACAAGCAAAATGTTGTTTATATTTTGTTGATTTTATCGGTTTATCTATCTAGACATTAAAAATGAATGCGCTTTTATTCATTTTATTCAGCTTGAACGTGAAGTAATTGAATTATTAATCATGTATGTTTTCCAAAAATACGTTTCTTCTTTTCACAGTAAAATTCGATTAACCCTTTGAGTCCCATAGTAGCAAAAAAGCTACACATGTTTTATAATTATTTTTCACAACTTAATTTATAAAAATTAGTACGTAATCTCTTGGAATGAAGCAATGGAGCATTAGCTAATAAATAGCAAATGCACTTATGTGGCACTGTCTGTAAAATAAACTAGGAGAAAACGATTTTATTAAATCAAATATATTTAATTTATCTAGGAATCATATAAGTCTTCATTTCCATTCTTTTCTTAAGGATTCGAACTATCATTTACATCCCATTATATTTGCTAAAGTGTCGGCTTCAAAAGTATAACTCGCTTTTTTTCAAATTTTGTTTCGTTGCTGAGAAAATTCGTTTTTTCTAAATCAGTAGCGGAAAAGTCGGAATTCTGTCCGTAGTTTTCAATTTTCGCGATCAGAACTCAACTTCTATATAATAAAAATATCATATTTAGAATCAGAATCAAAAACTCAGTCGACTGATCTGTATTTCGAAATCTTTAGCTGATTTCAGTTTTGGGTGAAAATCTTGACAACGTGAAAATTCGAAAAAAACTAAAGTACTCGAATAGGTTAGGGATACACATCAGTCGATTCATTTTTTCATTCTGATTTCGAATATGATATTTTTATTGCATAAAAGTTGAGTTCTGGTGGAGAAAATTAACAATTACGAATTACATTCAAACCAGCAAAAAAAATTTGGGACTCAAAGGGTTAACCCTTTGAGACATTCAAATAACTGGTATGTATTTCTTTTTCAAACAATTATTTTTTCCTAATGTTGAATTAATAGTCAATGGCCGGCGCTACAGACATCTTGGCTTGTAATTATTCACGAAATGTAGTCATTATTTCAATCAAGTTATTTTTGAAAAAAATGAATTTGTAGTTACAATGCACGTTTAAATATTCTTATCATTTGATGTACACATTCATCATAGAAGAAAACGCCAAGAATCGTTTTCTTCACTCATTCTCATTCAATTCACATCACTTATGATTTCAATTATGTTTCTCAAGTTTCACATTGATACATACTTTTATATCTACTTCAATTATTTCTTGACTATGACAAATAGGTTCAACAAAAAACATTCGGAAACAAAATGTTTGTGTACAATAGTTATAAATTAAACGTCATCGTTCACATGTGGTATTTGTAACATCAAATATCTAAATTGTTTAATTAAATTAACAATGAAACAAAAAAAGAGGACTGATAAAGTTGTTAAAAATCAAGAATGTTATTAAAATGTCGTTACTGTTTCTCGTTTGTAATTGTAGAGTGTATAATTTTATATTTCTTCATTCGTGCAAAAAACAAATGCCAAATGTTCATTCTTATTTCTAGAACGCCAATATTATTTGATAGTTTTGAAAATTCTTGTTTTAACATTAATAAATCATTTACATATTTTGATTCTGAATTATAATAGAAATCATTTCTATAGTTAACTAACGGAAAATAGCTGTTATATTCGTTCAAAATCTCATTGTTATTTTACAAAAAGTTTTTTAATTATCCAACAAGACTAAATATGCGTACATAAGAAAGAGAATAAATTTTAATTTAAAAAAAAAAAAATCCAAAGATAATCTGTTTTTCACATTATTTTCTTTAATCTCTTTTTCTTCGTGCAATATGTGGTGACCTTGTTCTGCCTAAAATCTATGTGATTTTAACTTGTGGATATCGTCTGTTAAAACTCAGCAATACTTACGTACGCATTAGTTAAAAATAATAAGTACCAAATGCCAGTATTCTCATCAAATTCTGTCCAGAATTAAAAATGTTTCTAAAGAAGAGTGTTAACTACGTTGTTTAACCCTGCGGAGGTGTTTGTGGGTCCAAGGAGACCCACAGTAGCGTTTTCTGTTTTTTTTCTACTTTAAGATCTATGCAATTCGAAGCGATCTCTTCGCTAATCGTTAGTCTTCTAATGATGCATAAGAACCATATGAAGAATTAGAATATCTTACATAGCACAGTACAGATGAAAAGTTACGTTTTTCTTACTTATCCATCGTTCGTGTGATAAAATGCGGACACCTTCGGAGGGTTAAAGACGTTTTCTCGACTAATTATCATAATTATTGTAACTAACTGATACTCATTGTTAACATACTCTAAAACTCTATCTTTTTGTTATTCAAGTGTTTACATATGTATGTGTGTGTGTGTGTAAGTTAATGCCAATTACATCTAAGTATCAGTTATCTGTGATTTGATGGTAGAAAACTGACAATTCTGTTGTTTTATTCGTTTTTCCCTTTTTGAAACCGAACAAAAACATCCCTTAACTACTATTATTAGTCTATCATCTGCGGAACTTTCCGGACGAAGTAAAAAAAAAAAAAAATTTGCAAAATGAAAAAACAAGAAAAAAAAAGAAACATGATGTAAAAGGAAAAAAATAGTAGCTCGAAAAAAACTTTCTATGAAAGAAATAAAGAATGGAAGAAGATATTCTAGATACTTTATATATATATACAGAATGTACAGAGAGAGTGTTAGATTATTGAAAGAATTTGTTATATTAATAATCGGCTGATTTTTCGTCTACTATATAATTATTTAAACATTATTATTTTGTTACTAAATTTTAATTTAATTTAATCGGATAATGGCATCATCATCTAATATCGATGATATTCATGCTTGGCGACGTAAACGTCGTTCAATTGCATTTCAACGAAAACCATTATTACTAAGACGAATGAGTCAAGGTAAAATGTGTAGTCTACTATTGTGAAAAATTGAATGTACTATGTTTTTGCTCATCTCTATTTCGCGTAAACAATATTCTATTGATCGTGTTTTCTCTCGTTACAATCTAATTATATACGTAAATTCAGACGAAAAACGAAAAAAAAAGATAAGATTCTTTTTTTCATTAAGAAAAATTCTATATTACATCGCTTATCCGTCTAATAATACTAAATTATATCAAATTGAATATGAATGAAATTAAACAGATAAAGTTTTTTTAAGTACAACTAAAGAATAAAAGGTTGATTGAATGTGATCATTTAAATAAATAGAAATGCACTCATTCATTCCCATTTTTCCTTTTTATTGTTGTTGTTGAAATTGTTGCCGTTCAAGATCGAAAGCATTTTTCTTTTAACTGAAGTTTGATTATCAACAATTTTCATTCATATTCAAACTCTTGTTCTCATTGAAAACATGATGTGACCCTGTGATGTTGTTTTTTTCATTACTAGAATTACGTGTTATGACATGATTTTTTGTCGTTTATTTTCTATTCCATGAAGAACGTAAAAAAGAATAGTATGACCCAGCTGCTCAGACTGTTTTTCTATTCTCAATTGAATAATAACGTTAGATTAATCGTTTCTATCTTGCTTTATTATCAAATAATTAATTAGTTTACATATCTCTGAGGCGTAAAACATTTTTTTGATATACCAAGACACAACAAAAAACAATAGTAATCAAATTTCATTGAGATTAAACCTAAAAATTGATTTGGATGAGAATATTTTTGATCTCGGAAAAAGTGACATATTGAAATGTTAATAGAAATTACACAAAAGATTCCGTTTTCTTTTTAAAAAAAATATTTCTAATATCATTAGTCTTGGCATGCTTATGTTTTTTGTCAACAGTACAACTGATCGCGGTTAGTCTCCCGTATGAAAAACAAAGAACTGTCTCTCTCATTTTTCATGGGTTCTACTAAATATCTTCTTCGTACTCGTTAACACACTCTAAAATTCCATCTTTTTGTTATTTAAGTGTTTAAATAGAGAGAAAGATATTTGTTTCATATTATACACTTTGTTTGATTATTACATGTGTATGTGTGTGTGTGTGTGTGTGTGTGTGTAAGTTAATGCTGTATCTCTTTTTTCTGAAAAACAAAATTTTTTATTTTGAGTTGAACAGCGACTAATGTGCAGAAAAGTCTGAGCTACAAAATAAAACCACTTCCAGCATTTCATAACTCTTTTGAAAAACGTTATCATTTTTTTAAGTTTTGGCTCGAACTGCTGAAAAAACTCGATTTTGTGGGTTTCGTAAATTTTTCTTTCGTCTTCAGTCCCTTCAAAATTTTGGGAGCATGTCTCTGGTGTGATAGAGTTGTACCGTACACGGATGAAATAAAAATAGAAGAACATGTACGGCAAAATTTCTGAGCAAAAAATACATCTATTTTTATTTTCGATGTTTACTCCGCATTTCTCAACAAGGTGGAAAAAAGAGTGTGGGGGAGGGAGTGTCCTTAACGTATTTGTGTTTTATTGAGTATAAATAGTACACAAAAAAAGTTCTGACTATGCAGATTAACGTGAATATTTGCTCAATCTTTTGATAGAACCCTTTCACTTTTTTTGGTTGTCCACGCCGTTTCCAATTTCAAATTTTTGCATGACTTGATCGAATACCCCACAGCATCAACATCATCAAGCCACTAGAATGAATACAAGCGAAATAGTCCATGATAAATAAGAACATTAGTTTACAACGGGATCAGTAGTGTTGATAATATATTTTTTGTAAAAAATCGGTATCTTTTGTGTAATTTCTATTGACATTTCAATATACGGACTCAATTATACCATTTTTCGGGATCATTTGTCATTTTATCCAATCGATTTCATATTCTGATGTAAGAAAATGTATTTCATTTTACCACTATTGATAATATAACAGTACATATATCGCTGCTCAGCTAACTTTTCTTGTTCTTACTTACCTTTAAGATAGGTTGCGATTAACCGGATCTACAGATAAATTTAGAAACTAAAATTTTGAACTTTAGTCAAAATTTAAGATCATTCAGAATGAACTTAGCTCTTAAATCACCTTTTCGAATACTAAAATTGAGTATTTACAAAAATTCCACGATACTAAATGTCCAGAGATATTTAATCATTGCACTACTTATAGAATTCACGGCTAGGGTCCAAAAGAGAAAATAGTTTTTAATAGCTCTTTGTGATTCACTCTTATGTACGCCGCAACCGCTTTTGATGTTATTACTTCTTTTGGCCCCAAACGGAATTTACACCATTTCCTCATTATAATTTAACGCTTCAAAATTATTGGTAGCGTGTTTTTTACATATGCTTATTGAGATTAAATTTTGTCTCTGTGACATAGGCATCGTTATTTTTTTTATAAACTTTATTCTGTCAGAATACAAAGGGAAAAATATTCCATTCTAATTTTCTAAACTAAAAGTATCGAAAAACACAAAATCAATTTTTGTAATTTGTGTCCTCTTAGTTCCTCCCAAATGGACTTTGTAAGATCAAATAACATCAAAGGGGTGGGGAGATGTGAGAGTGAGCAATTTGGGACGAACTGAGAGTAAACGCTTATGATCGTAGAATTTTTGCTCATCAGATACTCGCTACATAAAAAGTTAATTTGTTGATAATTGATTTGAGAAGATTATCTCGTATATTATATTAACGTTCGCTTTCTATGCGTTATATGACGTACTAAACTCGTTATGGTTTATTTCAGCATGTCGAGATCGTCTTGTAAGAACGCCAACTGTTATAGTTATGGTACGTTATTTGATTAAAAATAAATAGAACTACTGATGATTAACCTGTTTTTTTTTTATATTACATTTTAGGTTGGACTACCTGCTCGAGGAAAGGTAAGATTTTCCCTTTCTCTTTCTCTTGTAGGTATCTCTTAAAATATACTATTCTTCTAGACTTATATATCCAAAAAATTAGCCAGATATCTCCATTGGATAGGAATCAAAACAAAAGGTATTTATTCATTATTTGAGCGTGTTCTCTCATAAAGTGGATTTTTTACGAGATCACATAGAGTTACAATGTCAAAAGATACACCGCATATTTAATACTATTGAAATCTAATTTTATTGTTTAATTTCGCAACATTTTTGCTTTTTATTTGTTATTCTGTTCTTGTTCTCATTAATATGTAATGTTTTAACTGTATTTTTAATCATCAGACAAACACTATTATCATTCAAGAAAAAAAATTTCTGTAGATTTTGTACTTGATTTTGACTTAGAAATAGGAATTACCCACCCCTGAATTATTCATGTTCTTTTTGTTTTTAAATTTAGTATTCAATGTTGGAGAATATCGTCGTGACGCTGTTAAAGTGTATGAAGGAAAAGATTTCTTTGATCCAGACAATGCTGAAGCTGTAGCAGTCCGAAAGTGAGATTTATTCATTTAACAATTGATTTTAAGCTGTATTTTTCTTTTTCTTCTTTTCTAGTATATGTGCTCAACAAGCTCTTGAAGATATGTGCAGTTTTTTGTCGGACGAAGGTGAAGTAGCCGTAGGTATTACACAAACTAAACTTATACTAATTATCTAATACTAAATCAAATAATTTAGATATTTGATGCTACAAATACTACATGTGAACGACGACGTTTAATCCATGACTATTGTACACAAACATTTTGTTTCCGCGTATTTTTTGTTGAATCTATTTGTGATAGTCAAGAAATAATTGAAGCAAATATAAAAGTATGTATCAATGTGAAACTGGAGAAATATAACTGGACTCATAAGTGATGTATATGTGAATGGAATGAGAATGATTTCTTGGCGTTTTCTTCTATGATGAATGTGTACATCAAATGATAAGAATATTCAAACGTGCATTATAACTACAAAATTCATTTTTCAAAAATGACTTGATTAAAATAATTACTATATTTGTCTATGCTTTAGGAAGTAAAATTGAAGAGTCCCGATTATAAACAAATGCCCGCTACCGCTGCTGTTGATGATTTTTTATCAAGAATAGCCTTATATGAAAAATGTTATGAACCAATTGACGATAAAGTTAAGGAAAAAAATTATTCGTTTATCAAACTATTTAATTGTGGTGAAAGATTTCTCGTCCATAAAATTGGCGGTCATATTCAATCGAGAGTGGTTTATTTTTTAATGAACATCCATGTTTTACCACGAACAATCTATATAACACGAGTAGGATATCGCTTTTTATACATTCTTTTTTGAATTTTTTATTTTTATTTTTTTCAAGCACGGAGAATCTGAGTTGAATATGCAGCAGCGAATTGGCGGTGATCCACCGTTATCCGTTCGTGGCAGAGTGGTATGTATGTTCTTTAAATTTTCAGCATATTATGTAAATATAAAGTAGTTGTTAATTTTCTTTAGTATGCTGATGCACTTGCACAGTATGTGGCAAAAGGTAATCAAAACTTTTTATTCCTGATCAAATCAGTTAATCGCGATTATATTTTAGAAAATATTCCGGATTTAATTGTGTGGACAAGTCAAATGCAACGCACAATACAAACAGCTGCAAAAATAAATGCTCCCAAAGAACAATGGAAAGCATTAAATGAAATTAATGCGGTAAGAGGAGTTCATCTGGGTGATACATCATTACATTGGTTTTATATTCATTTGTTTTAGGGTATTTGTGAAGGATTAACATATCTTGAAATAGCCGAAAGATTTCCTGAAGAATTTGCTTCACGTGATCAAAGCAAATATTTTTATCGTTATCCTGGTGGAGAAGTAAGTCATGAAAACTGATTTTGACCCACAATATAAATAAGAAAATATATATTTTAGTCTTATCAAGATCTTGTTGCACGATTAGAACCAGTTATTATGGAATTAGAACGAGCTGAAAATGTGCTTGTCGTCTGTCACCAAGCAGTTGCTCGTTGTATACTCGCTTATTTTCTTGATAAAAATGCAGGTAAAATACCAATTTATAATTAAAAAAATATGCAGCATGTTTTTTTTGCAAGATTGTGTTTCAGATGATTTGCCTTACACAAAAGTTCCTTTACATACGCTTATTAAACTCACACCACTTGCTTATGGTTGTAAATTAGAATATGTCCCGTTACACGTTGACGCTGCCAATACCCATCGAGACAAACCACAAGTAAAATTACATGATGATATTATTTATAGTTAATATGCTCATTCTTTTTTGTGTTATTGAAATTTAGAATTGTCAATTGAATCGTACATTAGAACATGCTATCGGTGAGTTTATGGCAACAGCTGATGAACAACATAATAATGAAGGAATACAAAATGAAGTATTTTATTGTGGGACAACGTACTCTCCCGAAATTAGAAATGATAATCAGCAATTTTGTGATTTGCAAGAGCACGATTCAAATGAAAATGCTGTTCTAAGCGATATTGACTCATCGATAAGAAATGTACAGTTGTGATCGATGAGAAAATTAACAAAAGTTTCGGTTTTCCCATTAATAAAAGGAAAATACGATTGGAACGCGAATATTTATATTTTCCCAGTTGTTATAGAACTTTTCATTGCGTTGTCTAGTCGTCAACTGTTTCTTTTGTTCTCATTATCATAAGCTATTTTTTTTAAATTGAGATACATTTTTATATCGATTTTTTTGCATATATTTATTTTGAATAAACTTACGTTTGGATAGTTTGGATAAAAAATTTATTTGAGTGGTAAAATGTTTACCCGTTAACGCCATGCTTAGAATTGTTCGTTCTATTAAAGCATTAATCAAACAATTGTTACTTTGAACACATAATTTCAATTTAATACATTTCGGTCTGAATAGCAGTTAATAGAAAATTTCCTGTTTTGATAGAAGAAAGGAATTATCATGTTTTATATATCTCATTTCTCGTTACAATTTGATCTGTAGTCGAATGATATATTCTCATTCTCATTGTTAAAAGTAGTCAAACGAGCATGTATTAAGAATTTTCCTTTGTTTCTTTATATTAGACAACAGTAAAGGAGAACATTACAAGAACCCACTTAACTGATCATGTAAAAGTAAAAATACAAGATCCCATTTTATTAGCATTTCTATAGGAAAAAAACATCTGAGTGATATTGTTGACAAAACGATTTATTTTGATTATATGCAGACCATGACTGTTTTGGGGACACAATACAAGATTCCCTCAAAATCTGTAAAACGCAAGAAGATCCTTTATTATGTCATCCTCTTTATTGAGAAAATGTTGGAACTCTTTCTTTTTTATCGAACCACTATCTATATATTATGTGATTGTAAGCGGAGCCAGTTTCGTCTAAAATTTGAGTGAACAACTGTATAGTAGTGATACATTATAACGGCAGGATCTCATCAGATACAGTTCTACAGTAAATCAACAGTTCATCAAAGCGCTTTGTATTTGATAAACTTCGCGATAATAAGTGGTTTATGTCTTTTAGCTAGTTGGCAAAACCCAATTGAGATCAAAAAGAAACGTAGAAGAATAATCACCTTTTTTCATAACACAGACTGTTGTTGAAGATGTATTTGAACGAGAAATTGCATAGAGTAGTATGGGGCAATTGCAGACAGTTTTGCGATCTTTTCTCTTGTAATCAACATAACTTTGTGATTTTTATTAATTTTTAGTTGCTTTTTTGCAGGTAGGTACATGGAAATTTCCTGTACAAACCTGTCTAAAAATTTTCGAAAACCGGCTTCTAGGAGTGTATCTCTCGGTCTGTCTGCAATTACCCCGAGCCAGTGTCTGCAATTACCCCACATGGGGTAATTGCATATATCGCTAGTACTCTATGGGGCAACTGCAGACACTCGTGTATTTTACACGGGAAAAGCACTCATTAGTATAATTAACTTTCTTTATTAAGGTAAGGAGATTAATTAGTCGTTCTTGCACAGGTGGATAGCGGAGACCTTTCTCTACGGTCGGTAAGAATCTCCTATCTCTGGTCTCTAATCAAGCTAAGCTCTAAATAACACAGTAATTTT